CTGCTGCCGCTACTACTACTACTACTACTACTACTACTACTAGTACTTTTACTACTAGTACTTTTACTATTACTACTACTACTACTACTACTACTACTACTACTACTACTACTACTACTGCTACTTCTACTACTACTACTACTACTACTACTACTACTACTACTGCTACTGCTACTACTACGACTACTAGTAGTAATAGTAGTAGTATTATTATTAGTAGTAGTAGTAGTAGTAGTAGGAGTAGTAGTAGTAGTAGTACTACTACTACTACCACTGCTACTACTGCTACTACTACTACGAATACGACTACAATGCTACATCCCTTCTTGACTCCGAGGGCGCATCCCTAAATTTGTTTCCGATGGGTCACCCAGGGATAGAGATACGTTCGAGGTTGACAAGATCTATTCCCGTCAGTTGGGAAGCTGGTGGTTTTCCCCTTTCCGAGCTGCACCTCGTAGTGGGCCCCACGGGGCTCGAGAATGGGGCGGGCGGGGGGCACCTTGGGCCACGAGCGCCTCTACAGTGGAGACCCATGCCGAGAAGCGCCCTGCCTGCCTCCAGGGTGCCCTTGGTCGCTTGGGTCTCTATGGTTCTAGATCGCGGGACGTTCCCACATCATCAATCAGTGGATGTCCTGGGGTCTCAGGGTTGGGTTTCTTGTGGGATGTTTCTTGTGGACTGGCCGGACTGGCCTCCACAATAGCACCCACGAAGCATGGCTCGAGGACGCCCTGGGCCGGGAGCGCTTTTCTGGGCACCGCCAGGCCCCAGCCGTCCGGTGGATGTGTGCTGTCGTTCCGTGGGAGCGACACGGTGTTTTGGCGATGCGGGTGGGCGGTTTTCGTTTTTAATTGCTTTCTGCAGCAGGGGCGAATCGACTAGAGAGAGATAGAGAGACGAGGGAGCACGAAATCAGCATGATATCGCGGAGACAACACGACAGCACGAGTGGTTTTGAGGGGTTATTGTTCGTTAACATGTGCCACGAGCGCGGAGCTACACTGCCAATGCCGCGCTTACGTGTGGCTCTGCTGCGTTCCTGCTCGCAGCGCACACCGCCAGAGGCGGCGGAGAGCTTGCGATCCATCCACAACAAGTGAGAGACGAGGGAGCACGAATCGGGCCGAACGAAAGGGGGAGACAGGGAAAGGGGGGTTTACGGAATCTGCTGCATGCAGCTGGCTTCGGCCCCGCCGCCGGGCCCATTCCTCGATACATTGGCGCTTCCCGGCGCTGGGAGGCGCTGGGAAAACCAGCTACTTGAGCTGATTCTCTACCTTACCCTTTGCTATCTCCCCCTGCCTTTCCCACCCGAACGAAGACAGCACGAGAGCGGAGAACACACACACACACACACGCACACACACACACACACGCACACACGCACACACGCGCACACGCACACACACAGACACACGCACACACACACACACACACGCACACGCACACACACCGTTTAGGTGTCGCACCTTGCCCGCGGGCCTCTCGGAGGCATCGGCCTCTGGCTTGCGGGCCTGTTTGCTGCCCCAGGTCCACCTCGGCGGCGCGCAGCGGCGGGGAGGGGGGAGGGGGGGAAGGCTTCTCAGAAGGGGGCTACTTCTTAGACTCAAGCAGTGGCGAGGCGTCCTGGCTGGCCTGTAGGACCACCAAGGAATGTTTTTAGAGCCTTTTGTGGTTTGCAAGGGATGTTCTTGGAACATCTCTTTCTGGAGCTGTCTTGTTCTAGCACATCGAGTTTATGTTATAAGAACCTTGTTTCTTGTTATGAGAACATTTAGGGGTTCTGAGAACATGTCGTGGTAGGCCTACAGGAATGCCGGGACGGTCGGTCCCTGCTCAAAGAACTCTCTGGCCTTTCACGTATAGAGAACGTTCGCGCCTTCTAAGAAGCCTTCCCTCGCAGGCCTAGAGGTTGACACCAACACCAATAGCGGCGGTGTGCCTCCACAAGGGGAAAAGGATCCCGATCTCGGCGATGGTGGTAATATTCTGACTGCCAAGGTGACCGAGCGATGTGCCCGTTTTCCCGTCGGGGCCCGATGGCCCAGGCCTCCCAGATGGGGTCGGAGCAGGTGGGGTCGGTGGATCGCGCCGCGTCGCCGATGCATCGAGGGTGCGGATCGATGCGGGGCCCAATATGCTTCGCGTCGACGTCGCTAGTGCGTCGCCAGCGCATCGCCGATGTGTCGGCGATGCGGCGCGATCCTCCCACCCCATCTATTCCGACTCCATTCAGGAGGCCTCTAAGATCGGCGGCGTTGGACAGCCACGATCGTTCAAGTTTGAGCGAGCCACGCAGTGACATAACCTGAGGTCGACGTCGCCGCGACGTGAACCCGCCGTAAGCGGAAACGGAGCGGTCCGCCATCCGCGGACGAGTTGTGTGCACTGTGCCGCCTGGGCGTTTCCCGACGCGTGTTCTTCGATCTTCGTCCCAGGAGTGGCACGGTATTCGGCCTTCGGAGCCCGAGCAACTGTACACCGTATCGTGATGGGCTGGTGTTGGAAAAGGGGTTCAAGCATGGTGCGGTGCATCAGCGCGCTCTCGTATGCCAGGCCCTGACATCCGCCGACATGTTTTTTCTGCCGATCCGTAGCCCGAGAACCCCCGTGCCCTTCCCTGCGATTGGTTCTGCGCCCCAAGTCCGTTTTTGACGGGCCGGGGTGCCGACAGCGAGCCCCAGGGGGCGACGTCGAGGAGGAGCGCCCCGGAGTGAAGTAACGATTCCAGCGGAGACTTGGGCACGGTGCGAGGGTGTCGTTCGTGCAAGGCGGTGCGGGTGGATCGGGCTGCGAGAAAGCAAGTGACGGAAGGAGGAACTCGCTGATGATCTCTTTCCCATCGGCGGCGTGTCATTCTTCTCTGTCCATCCCCAGTTCTCGTTTGCCCGCGGCCGCTCCCAGCTGTCCAGCCGTGGAACTTCGTTCCGATCGATCCGATTCGATACCGGATATCAATTCAAGTTGGCCCGATCCGATCGGATTCGGATATATCGGGCGATCCGACGCTGCCCCATGCTCGCAGCCGCCTGCTGTGCCGAAACCGATCCGATTGGATTTCGGTTCCACTCCGATGCAGACCGATCCAGGGCTGGACCTAAACGCTGCTTAGCTGAGTTTTTTTTTGTTGTTTGTTTATTCCCCCCGTTCGGCAGGCAGGTGCAGGGAAACTGGTAGAGCAGAACGAACAACCAAACGAAGTCAAAACGACAAACAACGTTGACGTCCAGCCCTGGCCCGATCCGACGCACGATTCGACCCGATTTGCCGATTCGATGCCTATGCTGATCATGTCCGGCCGCATTGGCCGGCCAGCGGCCCAGGACCGCACCGGGCGCCGACGGGCAGCGCGGCTCCGGAGACGGGGCCAGCCGAGACGCTTCCGAGCGGTCACGGGCGTCGGCGATGCGGCGGTGCAGGTCCGCCGCCGCGCGCGGCCCCCGTCGTCGCCGCTCATCCCCACACGGCTCACTCGATTCCTCCGATTCGATACGATTCGATTTCCATGGATTCCGATGCCGATTCGATTCGACATCGGATTCCGATACGGACCCCGATTTCTTATTGGGACACGAGCCAACCGATTTTCGACGATTCGGCTTTTCTCGACTCGGCGGCCGATATCCGCCGATTGGATCCATTTCGATTGCCGATCCGACGTATTGATTCGATTATGGGCCCTCTTGTCCCCATGCTGGCAAGGTCGCGTCGCGTTGGTCGTCTTCGCCCTCTGGGGGCCTTCGCTGGGCCACGTGACCGTCAGGTGATGAAAACGCCGCCCTGAGGGAAGGGGTTGGGATTTTTGCAAAGGACCCTGTGCTGCAGAAGCCAGCCCGGCGAAGAAACCGACTTTTCACAAGCGCGAGGCGACCATCGAAACGACTTCCTGATCAGGGCCATGGGTGGAACACCCTCTGGTTAAGTCGGGCGTGTCCCTCTACAGGAGGCATATTCAAACATAGTCGAACAAATCGTATGGGGACCATGTTGGGGGCAGTTTTTTTTCCGGCCGAAAATGCTATCTTGTTTTGTTCTGTAACCATGATACCAATAGTAACGATAATACCAAAATTAATAATTCGAATCAGACTAATAATGCAACACATGAATTTGTTGTTCGGGCTATTTTTACTTGTTCGTCGAACATCTCCCTGCAGGAGGACAGTCTCCCTGCAGGAGGACAGGCCCGATTTCATCCTATGGGGGCGGGGCGCGTGCGATGGGGTGCACCACCATGGGCGGGGGGGCGTCCTGCGGTCACTCCCCCGTCGGGACCACCGCCAGGGGAAGAGCAACAAAAACACCCGGGCCCGACCATCAGCGTCTGCGAAACAGCCTTGGGCGTCCACTGAACAGCCCTGCCCTGCTCGATGCCCCCCTGACGCGTCCGTCGATTAGCGAAGTGGCCGTTGTCGGTTCGCGGGAGGGCGTCGCGGCCGTCCTCTTTGCGGGTCCAGGTCCGTCGGTTTTGGTTTTGGGCCGTTTTCATTAAGAAGGGTGGTTTACTAAAGGGAGGTTTGTCCACCGCCGATTGGGTGCGTTTACTGAACGGCCTCGGTTGTCGGGTTGGTCATTCTGGGGGGTGGTTTTATCGCCCCCTACACAGGTGGAGGGGCGGGACACGCGTGAGGGGTGCACCGACATGTGCGGGGGGGACGCCATGCGGTCCCCCCCGCTGGGGCCACAGGAGGAGCTCCCTAGGCAGCGGGGCACGCACGCGGTGTGTGGCGTCGAAGGGAGTGCAGCAACGGCAGCAGGAGCGGCTGCGACGGGAGGAGGGAAGAGGATAATGAGGAGGAAGAAGAGGGAGATGAGGAGGACAAGGAGGAGGAGCAGGACAAGAAGAAGAGGACAGGTGGAGGAGGAGGAGGAGGAGGAGGAGGGCAAGGAGGAGGGGGAGGAGGAGGAGGAAGAGGAGGAGGAGATTGGGAGGAGATGGGGAGGCAAGGCCTCCAAGTGGACCTCGGCATTGGTTCTCAGAGCCTCAAAGTCCTCATCCATCGTAGCCGCCCAAGGACCCAAGACGTCCAAGCCCAGAAGCAGTAGGGAGCTACAGCGCATGAGGGGACGGGGGAAGCACATCCCGGCCAACCTTGTCATGACCCATGTCGCAGGTGGGCCGGATTCAGACTGGGCTCTATTGTCGGGGGCGGCAAAGAGGGGGGTGAGGATTGGGGGGGGGTGGATATCATGGCGGGGGCCATGATGTCTCCCCAGATTTCATGGCGCCTCTTCTTGTTTCATCACGTCCATGGCCCCCCCCCTGGGCCGCGCACATGCCGCTGGCCATGATTTGCAAACCCCCCTCTTGGACCCCCCCTCTTGGCCGCTCCCGATACTGCGAACGCCTTCCAATCAGTGACTCGTGTACGTGGTGCGGTGCTCAGCCCGGTACTACTCTGCACCGCGTCTTTGAGTGCGATGGTCAAGCTGAATGGCGGCGGGACCGAGATGTTGATGAGTTGGTAGATGCCAGCAGAGGGGCAGGATACTTTCCGCTGATTGAGTCGTGTCGCAGGCAGCTGTCGTGATGATACCTTTCTGCCGCTCGTGGGATCCGAAGCTGAAGATCTGACGGTGAAACGGTTAAGCCCCATGGGGGCACTTCGGGATCGAGATAGTCATCGGCGGATCGGGCCTCCACCCAGACGTTGAGTGGCAAACGAGGTCAGGATGGGCGGGTGTTTCCTTGGCTCCAGGATCCCGCGAAGCTGGTCTTGTCTGTTATGGGCCCAAGACTCGGTGGAGAAAAAGGCACCCATCCCGTTACCTGTGCCTCGTGTTCGCCCTGTTGGGCCCCTTGGGAGGCCCTAGTCACTACTGCTGGCTTCGCCTGGAAATTATGGTCAGAACGCACGGCAGGAGAGGTCTGGAGAGTAGCGGTATCGGTACTTTTTGGTTTCACAATGATCAAGTTATTTCTTCGGATGATCGGGTGCTTGCCAGAGGTACGCCGTGAGGCACGGACGTCCTACAGCCAAGACGCTGAAATAAGGAGACAAACAAAGACGCTGAAATAAGGAGCAGTTGGGGTTCGGAAGGGGCTCAATGTTCCGTAGGTCCTTCAATGGCTGTTTCCGTTGCGTTCTTCGTCCACGCCGGTGCTTGTGGGGCCAATGAGGAGACTTCGTTCCTTATGCAGCGTTCCGCAGCGTTCCTTATTGCGAAGGCCTTACGGCCGGAGCCGCCGACCCTCAATGGGGGGCGACGGCGATGACGACGACGCTGACGCTCTGGAGCCGAAAGCCTTTCCCAGGGGAGCACCCCCCTGGGCGGGGGGTCACAACCCTCAGGGCCCCCACCCCCATCCACCCCGGGACCCCCCCTTCCCCACTCCGCCGAGCATGCCCCCCAGGGCCCCCCCCCCCGGGCGGAGAAGGGGTCAAAGGGAAGGGGCTTCGTGCGACTCGCTTGCGGCATGGCTCGTTCTCCCTGTGGCTGGCACGCTCGAGGGGCAGCGGCGACGAGGACGATCACGCCGACGATGTCGGCGGATTTCAGTAGCCAGACCGTAGTACTCGGACGCAGCGAGGGCGATCGCCGCAATCCCCGTCTGCTTCCGCGCACGACCTGTGCTGTCGCAGGGGCGGCGCGCCGACGACTCCCCCGCCTCTCTCTCCGGAGGCCCTCGGTGTCCGCGCCGCCGTGCTGCCGGAGGGCCTGCGAAGCCTGGCTCTCCGAGTGTCTCTGGAGCCACAAAGCAGCAGCCCACAGCGTGAGGCGTGAGGCACTCCAGAAAAGGGCGTTGCCCCCGAGGATCGAAGGAGTTGTCATCCCATCCTCGGTGGAAGGCGGCGGAAGAACAGACCGCGGGAGGCTGCCTCAACGGAAGCAAAGGATACACCCCCGAGACTCACTTGGCATCGCTCGGACGTGTGCATGTTTCCTTCGGCGAGGAACCTCGAGGAGCATCCTTGATCACTTGGCGAAAAAACCGCGCACGAAACCTAAAAACACACAGGGAGTGAACGTCCGAGCGATGGCCAGCGAGAGGTGAGCCCACTTCTTGGGGTTCGGGGTTCCCAGGCCCTGCCATGTGTGCACGTGCGCGGCTAGCTTCGGCCGGGCCGCGTCTCGACGCGGCTGCTCGTGCGCGCAGAGCCGCGGAGGGCGTTCGTGCGCATATGTGCGTTCGCTCGCTTGCAGCTCCGACGTGGCTGGAGGCCCAGCGTTGCCCAACAATCCAGCAGCCCGCCCCTTCGACCGTCCTCGTTTTGCGACAGGGAGCAGTTCTCTGGAAGGACAAGGAACTCAGGACGAGGAGGAGGAGGAGGAGGAGGAGGACCAGTGTGAACCCAAGAGTCTTCGACGATGTTGGAAGAAACCCTTCCTCCAAGCTCCCTCCTCATAGGCCTCTCGACCATCGCCCAGTCGACGCTGAGCTGGAGTTCCGAGTCCACGTCCTCGGGGCGCCGCCGCGTACCGCAGGTCCATGCCAGCGACCCCCACGGTGACGAAGAAGGGCCGGGGCGGCAGCGGCCATGCCCACCACAAGGCGCTGCTCGTCGTCGTCCTCGTTTGCTTGGTGGTGTGGTCGTCGTGGCGAATATGCGATCCGAGTCTTTTGAAGTGTTTTGTTTGGGGGAGGGGGGAGGGCCTGCGAGAGGCTTTTCGTCGCCACGGCTGGATCCGCGCCGACATTCTGGTCCGAACGCGCCCTGGAGTAGGTCAGCGTGGGGATTTCTTTGACGGGAGGAGGAGGAGAAGGAACAGGCTGAGGGACGAGGGAGGATGAGAATGCAGAGGGAGGAGGGTCGTCTCGAGCAGGAGGAGAAGGAGGAGGAGGAGGAGCAGGAGCAGGAACGCTGGAGATACGGCATGTTCATGCGGCGATGGCGCTCCGGCGACGCTGGCGAAAGTTTCTAAGGTTGAATTCTGCGACGCGGAAGCGGGGACACGGCGACGTTGTCAGACCCGACGGAATTCAATGTTTAACGATCGGGGCCGTGGTCGATTCAATGTTGAACGATCGACGCTCCGAGGCGGGAACTTCTACATGACCACCGCCTGGCGGATCAATTTTCGGGGACTTCGGCAGGCGGTGGATATGGACATTTTCGGGCCCCCCGGGGGCCAAAATATATACAGATCCACCGCCCGCTGGGGCATCAGGACGTCGGTTCCCAGGCGGTGGACATGGAAAAATCCCCACCTCGCAGACGCGGTGTCAAAAGCCTTGGCGCGTGCCGCCGCCTCGCGAGCCCTACCGTCATACACGGCAGTGGGCCCGCTGCCCGCGTCTTTTGTTGCACGTCTACGAGCAGGGACTGGCAGCGGCAGCACCGGGCAGACAGCTCGTATTGTGCAGCTGCGCGCAGGTCTGATCGGGGGGGTTCTCCGAAGGGCTTAGGCGACCCGTCCTCCTCCTCCTCCTCCTCCTCCTCCTTCTCCTCCTCCTCTTCCTCCATCTCCTCCTCCTCCTCCTCCTCCTCCTCCTCCTCCTCCTCCTCCTCCTCCTCCTCTTCCTCCTCCTCCTCCCCCTCCCCCTCCCCCTCCTCCACCTCCTCCTCCTCTTCCTCCTCCTCCTCCTCCCTCCCTCCTCTTCCTCCCCCTCCTCCTCTAACTACCCCTCCTCCTCCTCGGGTCGCCTACGGCCCCAGGGGAAAACGTGCAGGTCTGATTGGTATGTCGACTACAAGCTTTTAAATTCTGGGGCGGGGGGTGATCCAAGCACGAATCAATGCTTATTATCCATGGGCTGGGGAGGAGAAGGATCAGTCGACAAGCGCGTTCTACTACTCGCAGAGTAACTACTCGCAAGTGGCCTGTCTCCGCCGCGGGGGATTTGCGACCCATTGGATCGAGGCAAACATTAGTTGCCCGTACAGGCGTCGCCCCTGCCGCCGGCCCCCTCTCGATACGAATTGGGGTATGTTAGAGTCGCGTCGGTGGGTCTCGGCGCTGCCTCGGCGCATCTTGGAACATCTTGCGGGGGCGGATAGGAATCATCAGCGCACATTGAAACGTTGGCGTTATCGAAGACGCCTACGGCGAATCACCGCCGCCCCCTGCCCCGTTGGAAGCGCCTCTGTGGCCGACAGCTGGGCCAGAGCTTGGCCAAGCTTTCGGGCCAGTTGTTCCCTGAGTCGGTTTGGAAAGACTTCGGGGAACGCGTGTGGGAGAAAGAAGAGGAGGATGGGGAGGATCAGGAAAAAGGAGGAGGAAGAGGCCATCTTAGGCCGTCTTGGGTGCATCTTGGGCCGTCTTGGAGGCGTTTTGGGGCCATCGTAGCCGTATTGGAGGCAATCTTGGCCGTATTGGAGGCCTCTTGGGGCCCTCTTGGGGCCGTCTTGGGGGCCTTATGGGCCGTCCTGGGGCCATCTTGGAGGCCTCGTGGGCGATCTTGAGGCGATCTTGAGGTCCTCTTGGGCCGTCTGAAACCCGTCGGAATGCCGAAAAGAAGCACATGCCATTTTGGCCTCGAGGGCCCTCCTGGAGGACCTCCTGGAGGCCTCTTGGGCCGTCTCGAGAGCCTCTTGAGGACCTCTGGGGCCGTCTTGGGCCATATTGAGGCCGTCTTAGGCCGTCGTGGGTGCATCTTGGGTCGTTTTAGGGCATACTGGGGCCATCTTAGCCGTCTTGGAGGCCATCTGGGCCGTCTTGGAGGCCTCTTCGAGCTCTCTTGGGGCCGTCTTGGGGGTCTCTGGGGCCGTCATGGGGCCATCTTGGAGGCCTCGTGGGCGATCTTGAGGCGATCTTGGGGTCCTCTTGGGCCGTCTTGAGCCGTCGGAATGCCGAGAAGAAGCAAATGCCCAAATCTTTCAAACCATAAAAGGACAATCAATGATTTTGGCCTCTCCGAGCCCTCCTGGAAGACCTCTTGAGGGCCTCTGAGGTCGTCTTGGGCCGTCTTGGAGGCTTCTTGGGCGAACTTGGAGGTATCGTGGACGCTCTTGGGCCGTCAGGGTGGCCATCTAGAACCGTGTAGAATTACCTTGGAGGCCATCTGACCATCTTGGCCATCTTGGACGCCATCTTGAGCCGTCTTGGAGGATTTTTTGTGGACGTTGGGGTCCTGGGCAATCCTCCTGAGACCCCGGCGGGACGGGCCGAAGCGCCAGGGGGTGTTCTTTTGGAAAAAGAACCAAAACCAAAATAGAAAGGATCCAGCACGCCAGGCACCCTTGCGATGAATGGACAGGGGGCGGCGGATCCTGATGGGCCTTCGGCCCATGACGCCACCGTGCCTGGGTTGTGGATACACATGTGTTGAGTTGTCGTGGGGAGCCTCTCGGGGGCCCTTTGGAGGCGGTTTGGGCGCCTCTAGGGGGCCGCTTGGGGCCTCATAGGGTATCTTTTGGGCCTCTTGGTCGCATCTCGGGCGCGTCCTGGGCGCCCCTTAGGGCCTCTAGGGGCCTCTTGGCGGCCTCTTGGGGCCTGGGGCTTTTCGGAGCGCTTCTCGGGCCATCTTGGAGCCCTTTTGGACGTCTTGGGGCCCTCTTGGAGGCATTTTGCGCTGTCTTGGGGCGGTCTTTTGAGCTTCTTGAGCCGCCGTGGAGCGTCGGAAAGCCAAACATGCGAGACAGCCAACATCCTTCGAGAGGCAATACTGACGTAATGGTTGACCGTGTCTCGGGTGGAACCACGTCGCTACGCTTCGGAACCGTATTTCGTGGCACGTCAGTGATACAGGTTCCGTACAGATCGGCAATCAATTGTCCAACGATGGTGCCGATAGCTCCATCCATTTTCCAACGAGTCCACATAATCTTGGCGATTCCCATCCATTCCTTGGGACCCCAAGGAGTCCTGAAGAGAGATTCCCGAGGATTCCCGGGGATCCCCGAGGATTCCCGAGGATTCCCTTGGTAGCAGCAACAGACAGAGCATGCCACTGCGACGACGAAATGAAGATTACATCGTCCAAGAGTGGAAGCCACCCGAGCCAGTCCGCACAGGCTGAAAGCGAAGAGGGCCCCCCCGCGCAGACGCTCCAGCAAATGGCGCGTTTCGTCGTCGCCCCAAGCCTCTCCTCTACTCGAAATATGGGATAACTCAAGAGCCCAATTAGCCACCTTTCTCCACCCGATACCATGGGCGGCCACGAGCTCATCCTCGAACCTGTGAAAGAAAGCACGACGTACCTCATCAAACTCCTCCTGACCTCCTCTACGTTCAGCAGCCTCGACACGATCATCCCATGGCGGTGGCTTCGGACTGGGACCTAGAGGAATCACGAGAGGAAAGGCCAGCGGTCGGACAAGCTTCCGCACCTTATCCTTGAAAGGCTTGCCATGCAAAGTGAGTGCGACCGGCCAATGCGTCTTGACCCCCGTGCCCCAATTCTTTCGAGCATGACTCGCTACCTCCAACAGAGCTCTGCTAACAGCAAAGAAATTAATGGTGCGCCAAGCCTTGGCCGTCGATCTGCACGTCGGTTCGGCCGTATGCACCACCGCCCCCCCTAGCCTTTCTTGCCATTTACTCGAAGTCAACTTCTCGGGCGTGCAGTTCCAATTGCCACCTATGATGAAAGGGGATTCCTAGCCCATATACATGCTCCCCTAGACGAGCAAGAAGGGGCTGGCCATCAAGCCCCAGAGGGTCCCCAGCACACAGGTAAATGCTGACCGCCAGGAAGCTTCCCGAGACAAACCTGTTGACGTGCGTGGCGAGGACCCTGTGGGGACTCGGGAGGCCCTTGGTAAGTTTGGGAGCCTTGCCCATGCCGATGTGGTTCTTGACCACGATGCCCACGCCAGACGACAAGCCTCCCTGATCCGTGGACCTCAGACGGGTTGATCGCAAGGGTCCAGCCGTGTGCCCTCATGGAGTCCTCGCGGGCCTCGACCGAATTGGCGTCGGTGGACACCTCCTGAAGGAAAATCACAGAAGCCCCTGTCTCACTGGTCAAGTATTGCGCCAGGGATGACCAAGACAGGGTGTTGCACGTCTCCAGCAAGCAGGTCCTATCCTGGCGGGATGTCCTTCTCGAGTGCTTCTTGGGGACCTCAACTGTACACTTACACGCCAGTCGTTGAAATTACGCTACCGAAGAAACCCACATACTTAATTTAAACATTATGTCCACGCCTGCTACGCTGTCACGCTCTCCGACCCTCGCACGCATAGACGCCGCGGTGAGAGACCACCCCCTGCACACCCCCCCTGGTGTCGAGAAAGTGCCATGCCTGCCACGCTCTCCGACCCTGGCACGCATAGACGCCGCGGTGAGAGACCACCATCTGCGCACCCTCTCTGGTGTCGAGAAAGTGCCACGCCTGCCGCGCTCTCCGACCCTGGCACGCAAAGGGGCCGGGGTGAGAGACCACCCCCTACGCACCCCCCTTCTGGTGTCGAGAAAGTGCCACGCCTGCCACGCTCTCCGACCCTGGCACGCATAGGGGCCGCGGTGAGAGACCACCCCCTACGCACCCCCCTCAGCTGCCGAGAACGTGCCACGCCTGCCACGCTCTCCGTCCCTGGCACGCATAGACGCCGCGGTGAGAGACCACCCCTGCGCACCCCCTCTGGTGTCGAGAAAGTTGCCACGCCTG